ATTTGCCCTCTGAGGAAAGCACTGACATCAATGTTCTGAACTTTGATACCTGTAAGTCATTACTAGAAAATATGACAGCAATTCTTCATTGATTTTCCAATGTATAAACAAAATCAATACCAGACCAAACAGGTCTCATATTTAAAAGGGAATTCCACTGTAATTGCAATTGTAATTGGGCTGTAATTCTGTATGTCATCTCCGTGTTTACTGGGATGGGAAAAAGTATCAAATAATTCTTGGTGGAATAATGGCCACAGACCAGTATCACTCTCCCTTTGTCATGCAGGTGACCTCCAGGTACTCCAGTTTCCTCCCTTAGTCACCAGACATGGTTAGATGGCACCTCTTAGCTGTTCTTCAGCATGTGCCTTGTTACGGACGGGCTCACTTGCCCCATGCTGCCTGGTATCAGCGCTGGAATACGACCCTGATCGGGACAGGCAGTTTTAAAAGGGACTCAGTTTGGATTTTTCCTTTTCGTCTGCTAAAAAATCCTTCAAGAGGAAAATTTGTGCTTAATTTCTGTCAGTTAATAACAGCATTTAACTTGTGTAAATATTCATCAAAATAGTTATTCTCTGTAATGGCTACTATGGCAACAATCAACAGGCTAATTTACGGCTGCCAAGCAGGCCTGTCAGCTAGTTAGGAAGTCAGCAGCTGCAGCCGATTACCCGTAGAATCTTGTAACCACAATGCTTCTCTAATGGTCAAATTAACTGGATTAAATTAACAAATTAAGTGGGAATTAACTGCACATTTCCTTTATTTTTAAAGTGAAAGGCAGTGAGTGGATTTTGTTAAAGAGGACTTCAGGTTTACAAACATCCACAAAAGCCATAGCCTGCACTATTCTTCTGACATATTAACCCTTATGTTCACATGAAGGCTTTCACATTTTCCATGTCAGTGGTATATGATTGCTGCTGAAGTCTGCCCTGCCAAGACAGTCAAAGGATCTATTGATATATATTTAAAATAATATATATACAGTATATATATATATATAAGAATATATATGTGCGTGCGTGTGTGTGTGTGTGTGTGTGCGTGTGTGTGTGTGTATGTGTGTGTGTGTGCGTGCATGCATGGGCATTTGTGTGTACATATGAAGTACTGTGCAAAAGTCTTAGGCAGTCAAAGGAAATAATGTATCAGTGATCTTCATGTTACTGTAAAACTATTATTTCATGTCTGTCAAAGTATGTGAATATTTAGTACTATAATAATATACCACATAAATAAACTTATTTACAAACAGCAAATATAATGCATACAGCTTTATACTATTGTGATTACAAGCTGCCTGCAATTCCCAATACATACAATTTTTATGCCGCTAAAATAATTACGTGTAATGAAACGCGGGTGAAGGCGGGGCCTTCCTGAAAGCCGCGGGCAGCTACCAGACATGGCAGGATGTGGGAGGCGACACGAGCTGCCGCTGGCTTGATGCCTTCATTCATTCCGTGACGTAACCACGACTAATTCCTGCGTATCAGCACCATGTGCACAGGCTTCCATTAGCTATAACGCCCATTCTCTGCCCGCTTACATCTTCATCCATGGCTTTATGTTACCTTGTAACAAGGGGACGTGATTAATGGAACGGGACCAGCAGTTATTTTTCGGCAGAAATGTTTTTTTCTTTAGATTTAGCTTTTTTTAAGTTTTTTTTTTTTTTCGATCTCACCACAGCTTGTTATGAACTAGACCTATTCATTTCAAATATACTGTATTAGACACATTGATACCTGCTAGAGGCATGTAAGTGCATTATGGGTAAATAAATCAGTGCATGCGGAAATTTAAGTGCCTTAATACAACATACCATGAAAACAACATTTTTAAGAAAGATTAAATCTATTACAAACGTTGTGTATATATAATCACTATACAATATCATTTTAAAATTATTATTAGATCTTTTCACATTTAAATTAGAATGACTGGCCAGAAACATAGAAGAACTATACTGTTTGACCAGGATTGGCATGCACTACACACACACACACACACACACACTTCCAGTGTGTGTATATATGTAATTTTTTATTTTAGAGTATATATACAGCCGTGGAATAAATTAAGAGACCACTCTATATTGTTAAACAAATCTGCATTTTAAAATCCTGGTTTAATTGTGATTGAGTGGCGGGATGCTTTCAGGTGAAAAATTTCTAAGACAGCAGTACACAGAAAAAAGGTGAAGCAGGAGACACTGGGAACGACCAGAAACCAGAGCCAGGTAAAGGGCGGAAGCGACAAATATATATAGATATAGATAGATAGATTGGTACTTATACCCGAGAAGAAAATTGATGTTATAATTTTTATTTCTCTACCATCAACCAAGGATAACAAAACAGAGTGTTATTTATTGTGCCGTTATTAAACCACTGTCAAACATTTTTTTGACCCATACGGTCAACATATAACACTGGGCAACATCACACTGGGCATATGTCCATGCGGCTCTAGTTACTTTTTAAAGAGCTACTGGAGCAGCCCAGAGGAGTGAGAGTCAGCCATGACACTGTCAAAAGTACAAAACTACAGCTTTAGATGCAAAAGTTCTTTGGTTTCGGTTTCCTAACAATTAATTTCCTATTATGAAACTGACAATTTAATTCAGAAATTCAAAATATTTTAAACCCCTGATGAAACATTCAGTTAAGAAATAAACCCATCCTGCACAGAAATGCCCACTCCTCCGAATGCATGTCACCTTTTATACAGGCACATAAACGCATCTCTTTCTCCGAACTGTGACACTGGCTCTAAAATCCCAGATGTTTAAATATGCCCCCCACGTACTGTATAGCAGAGCCATTAACGACAGGGTAATGATAATGTTAAAGACGACGGCTGACACTCAGGACTCACATTGTAGAGAATGTCCACCCAGCCCTCCATGGTGATGCACTGGAAGACAGTCAGCACAGCGAACAGGATGTTGTCGAAGTTAGTGATACCAAAGTTGGGCCCAATCCAGTACTCCCTACACACGGTGTCATTCAGCTCTGCACAGGTTCGAGCCGGAGTTTCCAGGCCACAGGGGAAATCTGACGCCAGCGCTCCTGTAACGACAGGATGCAAACAACAAGGGTGTAGGTTTGGTTTCAGCATTGGCAGGGACCAAATGGGCGCCAAACGACCCCCACCCCCCTAAACAAACACGGTACTCCCACAATATGAGTAGGGACAAGTCTGTACTGTCCATACCCAAATCTATGCCCTTGGCAAAGAGCCATGTAATGATTCATAGACTGAGAACAGAAACACATGAAAAAATATATTTGTTTCTTTTTATAAATTGTAATATATTTTGTTATAAACTGAATCAGTAGAAGGACACAGAACCATGTGAAGCGTTGCCCCCTGAGTCTCCCCATGCATTACAATGTTGGTAACTGTAAATGTGAGACCCCCACATCTACCGGTGAAATGAATAGTTTTCAGGATTCTTAGAGTGTATCGATTTGGAAGCCTCAGCCAATACTAACTACAACAGCATCGCTTATTGACTTTCAAGCTTTACTGCTGTCACTCCGGCTAACAGCTTTTACTCATTCTATTAAGTGCTTGGCTATTTCTGTTACACTGAAACCATTACAGCAGTTTCTGCACCACCGTCTCCACTCTGACAAATACATTGTACTTAGCCCAGACAGACAGACAGACAGACAGACAGACAGACAGACAGACAGACAGATATACCTCTAGCATACAATGTTTAAATAACTCCCAAATACTGTGAGAGTGTTTCCATTCAACACGAATAGGGTGTAAATAGTTTGTAAATAACTTCCTTCAGTGATCATCGAAGGTACCAGCTTGGTAATGACGATTGCTTTCGATTAGAATTACAATGACACAGAACAATTACAATCCACAACTGAGGCTTGTACAGTCTACACATGACTGACAAGTTAACAGCATACAGTTCAAAGCTTCTGTCATACAGAAGTATATATATATTTTTTGTATATTTATGACATGGTAACAGGTGATCATAATGTGTGGGGCCTGGTTATCAGTAAGGGTGACCAGGTAAACAGACCAGCCTTTTAGTTAATAATGCCTTTGCTGGCTATAATCAACTCATTAATGAGTTATGGATAAGTGCTTTATGAATTGGGGAGGTGGACTGAGAGTGGTAATGGTAAACATCAAGATCCACTGGCAAATGCAGACATGTCTATTTGCTTTATTGGGAAAATTGACTCATCCAGGACTGTTCAGTGCCTGGTCTTGTGTTTCATTTTTGTATATTTAAAAAGCAGCCTTGCTTAACCTATATGATGAGTAATAAAAAAATAGCTTCTCCTGTTCTGGGTAGACATCAAACTACTTAGACTGCTTGCCAGCAATATTCACATCCACTTCCATGTTGTAAAAATGAGACAAAATCGTTTAGGATCTCGTCCCTCTCCCTTGTTTCAGCTCCCACTTAAAATTGACTTTGCTTTTTCCATCTCTGCCTGTCCCGATGAGGCTTCCACAGAGGCCCCAGTTAGCAAAACGTTTTAAAGCCTAGAGGAATTTGAAGAGAGCCAAAGTGGAGTCTGCCACTCTCCTCCATATGTTTCAGAAGGCATTCGTATCATATCTGTGATCTCGGAATCAACAGCTCACTGGCAATCCAGCCCGGATGAATGGGATACAGCAAGCCTGTCTAACAGTCTGGTGGGCTCATGGACACACACAGGTTTAAAGTTTTCATTCCTAGAGTCTGGCCAGGCTCTTGGAAAATGCTGGATGGATGATCTCCAACCAACAACTTTCTTATTTTTAATATATTTTCTTATGTGGTTTTAATTTTTTATTTCAGCATTTTACTATAGCCGGTGACCCTCCCGGGACATGAGCTACGGACACAAGTGGTATGACAATCAGCAAAACTGTGGATTATTCAGTGTGAACAGTAAGCAGGGCACGACCCTGAAGGAAAAAGCCCCCTCTGTGCTGTGCTGACTCAAACGCCAGAGGGGCGTTTAGCGATAGCCGCGCGCGCGTCTTTTCAGGCTTTGCTCACTGTGTTTTCTTATACTGCACTCAGTGCCTCTATCATACCAGCAGCCCTACACAGATCCATAGCCGCAAAACATTTCAGCGAGTGTCTCCCTTGGTAGATTTCGCTGATCAGGGACTTTGTCTGGGCCCTCTTGTGCCAAATGGGCCCTATCTTTCACCTGTCCTAAGATCTGGCTCTCGTCGTATAGCACTTATCTCCGGTGTGGTAAGAAAAAGAGGGACAGGCCACTGCAAACCAAAAGAATATATCCACTGGACCAAAAGCCTAAATTTAGAAGCAGTACTTTTTGAAAGTGCAGTAAATGTTATAAACCTCTCCCCCGTTACTTATTTATGCAGAGAAAAGACACAATATTACATCAAAATGCAGCATTAATCCACTAAACTGGCATACTTATATTTTTTATTGTTACGACTAGTATTCTTAAATAGTATCTGGCCTGTTTCTGCATCAGGTCTGTGACCGCGGGCCTGTACCATGTCTGAGAGAGTTGGGATCTATTCCAAACGCATTTTTAAAGTGTCCTGACTCCTTGCCCACTAAGGACCACGATACTCTTTCTCAGCAGAGCCCTGCCCTTCAACAGCAACAGCAACCAACATTACTGGGCCTTCATGACTAAAAGCACGTCTGTAACAGGTGAGGGCTTTGGCACTTCTTCAGCATCGAGGATCTTTGGCTTCTGCCACCTGTTGGGTGGAGGAGTTATAAACTGTTCAGGTACCTAAGCAATGCATCTACAGGAGTGTTTCATTTGGCACGGAAATAGAACATACAGTAGCACGACACTAAACAACAAAGCACCCAACTCTGTTCCATCCTTCCTTCTTTACCTCTGTTGGACTTGTTCTGACGATAATATAAGAATCGATAACAGCAATATATTAATGAAAAAAGATTTAAGTGCACTTAAAGGTTTCAGATGTACTTTGTAAGATGGAAGCGGGACCATTAATTTTACGGTTCCGGGCCTGTCTGACCATACGAAGACCGGCGAAACACGAGCAGCCACTGAGCTGAGGGGGAGCCGAACGCTGCTCGACGACCATGATACCCGACTTGAACTGTGTGCAGTATGTTCAAACAAATCCCACTTTGAACACACACACATAGGCCTCATTCAGGGTCTGAATCAGTCACACCAGTTACTCTACAGGATCTATATTCCTACCATGAACATATTACCCTCCCATCTCTATTTTTATTGTCATGCTAACAAAGTGACCGTACATTTTGCACTGCAAATTTATTGCTTTATATTAATCTCGTTTATGAGCCTGGAAGGAATAATATGAGAAGGGTTTCAAGCGGTGATAAATGTCCCTAAGTTGTATTAACCCTGTAATTACAAGCTGGCCTTGTCACAGGGATTTACAGAGAACATAGAGAATAACATGCTGCTCTGCTTTCAATGTCAATATGTTAATAGGTGGGTTTGGATAAAGGTCAAATGTCTCAATAATTCACACAGAAACCACACATAGACAGATTTTATATCTCGGAGGGGATGTCCCATTAAGTCTTTCAGCAGATCTCAGAACAAATATATATATATATATATATATATATACATATATATATATATATATACATATACACATATATATGTATATATATAACTGAACCAAATGTGGCAAATATATTATATAATATATACGGTTATAATATACAGATCCTACAAGTGCACAAGTTTAATGGTGCTGGTGATAGGGATGTTTGGGCGGCACAGTGGCCTCACACTGTGTGTGTGTCTGTGTGTGTGTGTGTGCGTGTGTGTGGATTAGGTTTATATTACTTTGTGGGGACCAAATCTCCCCACAATGTAATAAAATCCTGTTTTTTTGACGTTGTGGGGACCATTTTTCTGGTCCACACAAAGATGCAATCAAAAAAGTTAAAATTCCAAAAGACTCATATTTTGTTGGGTTACTTTGTTGGGTTACTTATGGTTAAGGTTAGGGCTGGTAGGGGTTAAGGTTGTCATGTTGGGATTAGAGTTTTCCCCATAGGAATGAATGGAGAGTCCCCACAAAGATATAATTACAAACCTGTGTATGTGTGTATGTCTGTGTGTGTGCGTGTGTGTGTGTGTGTGTGTGTGTATATATATATATACATACAGACGCTCCTCTACTTACGAATGAGATACGTTCCAAACGGCTGTTCATAACTATAAATGTTCGTAAGTCGTTATTCAACATCATTTTAAGGGTATACGCAAGTACAAAGAATTTGGATGCTGGGAGTACAAACGCTACGCTGCTGCGCGGCAGGAGTAGCGGCCAGAAGTCATACTAGGCGGAATTGGCGCGCAGAGAAAAAAAGTAATGTTGCGGACAGGAAACGGGAGCCCAATGAACACAATTTGGACTTACAGTCCTCTTCGTTCATATGTCTGAAAGTTCGTAAGTTGAAAGTTCGTAATTAGAGGAGCGTCTGTATATATAAATTCAGACCAAGGTTTGGATTTTATTTCAGCTAGCCAGTTGAGTATGAAGAGTCAGTCACACAGTACTCCACTGGTTGGTTGAAACAAAATCTCGGCCTGGATTTGTACTTTCTACCACTGTCCACCACTGCTTTCCCTTTGTAATGAAAGCAGAAAAAAATAATAAAAAGGGGGGAAAAGACAAATTATTATATATCCTATTATACAGTGTTACAAATATTTTAAAAGTTTGGACTCTTTCCTAGTACTCCTAGAATATGCTCGAAAAATTTCCCAAAACCCAAATAACATATTTTGCGTGAAAGTTTTATTTTTGTATCTATAGCCTCTGTTACAGGGACTACAATATTAATCTTTGAATGCTTATTCTCCGTTAGCCAAATGAAAGTGCAACAGGAGATGGATTAGGACCACATTAACGTCACCGCATCATAAATCCAGAATTACCGCATCATAACTCTATCATGATCGACAAACATTAAAGTAAATATTACGGCAAAAAAATAACCATAGTGAAAACCACAAGGCACTTCCACAGCATCACTGCATCACTAAATGTGAGACAGCGGAGATTCTCATAAGTTTGATTAAACAATAAAAAGTGCTCCTCGAAAGTGAGAGCCATGTAAACAGAGCCCGTGCCATGTGCCGGGATCTCTAACCTGTGTCGGTCCTGAAGCAGGCGTGGTGGAACTTGCCCATGTAGAACTCCACACCGATGATGGCGAACATGACAATGGCAAAGAAGAGCAGCAGTCCTATCTGAAGCAGGGGAACCATGGCCTTCATGATGGACTTCAACACTACCTGAAGGCCTGACAAGGAAGAGAGACAGACTCACAAGGACCTTTGTATGAACAGGGGTGACATTTTTTGGAATTGCTCAGTGATTGCCCCTTATAAACATACCAGAGAATTCTTCAGAGAACATCAGGAAATACAAAATATTCATAGTATACATAATTATATTCACAAATGCTTATAGCTTTCTAATTTATGTTCAAATTTGTCTTTAAACAAGCTCACTTTCACATTTGTTTTTACAATTAACTCCACTTAAAGTTTCAGTAAGAGCTTTAAAGTTTTAATATTGTTATTGAAGGTCCACTTAAGTCAGTTTTAGATTACAATGGACTCTCTGAAAAGTATTGCTTTTGAAAAAAGGCCAGTGTTGTATACCATTGGTATGTTGTGTGATTAATTATCAAGGGGTGTTATTGTTTGGGAATCTGGGTGATCACTCACTCGGAATTCCGGAGACCAGTTTGAGCGGGCGTAGCACGCGGACGGCCCTAAGGGTCCTCAGGTCAAAGTCTGAGCCCACAGTGGCCAGAATCCTGCAAAGTAAAGAGAAAGAATGTTTTAAATCTGAAGTGCAGATGCAGAATTGCTATTACTTCTTGTTCTGAAAAACAATCAGCCACAACAAGGAGGACTGTGATGCAAGTAAATGCAGAGGAAAGGAAGGCTGGAAGAAAGGTGAGAAACAGTTCATCCCAGGTAAGCAGTCAGTGAGTGAGTCACAAGATGGACCCGGCTGCACTGACACCAGCATTTCAAGCAAGCCCACAGTACAGGGTGACCTCGGGACACAGATGAAGGCGTACGGGTGACTTGCAACTGCAGCCTAATGACCAGAGGCAAATGTTCACTTCTGTATTTTCAGCTTCATCGAAGTAAATTAAACTGAACAAAATGGTCTGACCTAAAGGAAAAGGAGGCTCCTCTGTGACGTTTCCCAGGAACTGGTTTAAAGAGAGTTTACACCTCCTGCCTTAGTGCATTATTCTCGTGTAAAACGGCCCTTCAGATGCGTCACCAGACGTGAAAGTAGGGCTGTCACTATTGATTATATCAATAATCCAGTAATAATCCAGTAACATCGAATAATCGTTTTAAAAGTAATATAATATAATATAATATGTATTGCAATTTGTGCACACTTAGTCACACATAAGGAAAATTCATGCACTCCAATTTACTTAAGTTGCATGTTTTTGGACAGTGTAAGGAAACGGGAGGATCGGGCAAAGAAGCCACGCACTCACAAGGTGAACATGTAAATTCCACAAACATTAACCGGCGGCGTGCAGCGACAGCGCTGCGGACTGCGCCACTGTACCACCATACCAGGTTAGCAAGATGTGCAAGGATCGCGATAGTCTGCTGCAACTTTGTTTTTTAACGATGGTTCCTTTTCAACATTATCTAGTAGGCCTATATGTAAAAAAAAAAAATGTGTAAAGTTTGCCGCCGCTGTTCTACATGAGCTCCGCATGCGCATTTGTGAGGAACTAAAAATATGTGAAGAGGGGAAAAAAAGGCCAAAAAAAGACTTTCGTCTTCTGCTGTATGGAATTTTTTTGTATTCCATAGATAAGATATGGTGCAGCAACAAATGATTAGTCAGCACTGCTTTGGGTCTGCTGGCACAACTTACGGCAACACCACTAACTTATCTGCCAGACTGTTGTTAGATAACGAGTTAAATTTGGAGTTATATACATACATACATACATACGTATATATACTGTACATATGTATAATGATGTGACTAAGCTACCGGGCTAATTCATGTTAGCGGTGATCATTTTGACATATGGGAATCGTAGAAAGTCCGTTGAAATCGAATGTCTTCATTTAACATGTATTTGCTTTGCAGTCTTTCTGTGGTGATATTTAAGTTCGGCTTTACAATACTGACAGACGACTTCATTTTATTTCATTTTTAATGTGACGTGCTACCATGACGCTGTCATTCTTTATTTGGATCCAAACCGTCTATGCGGAATAATCGGTTAGGAAAATTTTAATTGATGCTTTTATACAATCAAGAAATCGAGTTTAATTGAATAATCGTGACAGCTCTATGGGAAAGTAATGCACACTGTTGCGTTTGCCTTCCTGGGAGACAGACCCTGCTCAGAGCCTTCTGCTGCTCTTCTGGACCCTCATGCTGATTCGTCTGGTCAAGCAGCCAGACCAGGATGTGTTTTGAAAGGTCGTCATCCAGCCAAGCCAGGTGCCCCGTGGGCAGCCGCTCGCCATAGCAGCATGAGGGTAAATGTCCTGCTAAGGCAGGCCAGAGAAGGTACAGAGTGATCCAGGCAAAGCAGCGAGTTCAGCAGCGAATAGGGGAGGGGGTAGGTGGGGGTGCAAGAGCGGGCTGAGAACAGCTGAAAAATAGAGAAAGGAGTATGCGGATAGGAGAGAATCCTGCTGTGATCTCCCCTTAGTTTGATTTATTGAGCGACGCTGGTAAAGCCAGTCATGAAAGTCAAAATGCAAAATCAAACCAAAAATCCAAATGCAGAAGTAAGGAAAAACAATTCCCCTCTGTATATATTCCCTGGTGCGCAGTGGTGGCTTAATGGTTAGGGCAGTGCACTTGTAATTGAAAGACTGCAAAATCCCAGACCAGCAAGACACCACTGAGGTACCCTGAGCAAGGTACCGCCCCCAAGCACTGCTCCCTGGGCGCTGAATTAGCTGCCCCCTGCTATGTCACATATGGGTTAAATGCAGAGGACACATCTAATAAGACATCCTTCACATTTTGTCTCCATTTCAGTTCAGACTGATCATCGATATTTCAACAGGGCGGCATATCAGGCTGTCAGAGGGGTTCCAGTCTCTGCTTTGCACCACAGCTCCAGATCGTAGGAGAGGAAGTGGAGCTTCTCCCCCAGGATAAAAGGCGTGCCAGCGGAGCCTCCCTACACTGACCACGCACCCCAGATCCGGACCATACAGCCTGCCCCCCAAGGCCGTGTCCATGCCAGCATTCCGTATTCCAGAAAGACTGCTGGGGGGGGGGGGTCTCGCTTTTCCCTGCGTCGCAGCCATCAGCCCACCACACAGTACATGGAGACCAGCAGCAGACACGGGGATATTCCTCACTCTGTTTGGGCTGGCTTCTCTGTGACATCTGTTAAATCATTGCTGGGGATTCACGGCAGGCTCATTAATACGGCGGGGGTGGGGGCACATGCAGGCGGTACAGAGGTGGAGAGTCACGCTGCCTCTGCGAGCAGCAGAGATTTTACAGCAGACGTGGCAGAGCCTGCCTGCTCCATGCATGCACACAGCCCCCATCTCAGCCTAGTGTTCAATGGGGGGGGGAGCAGCATTCTGTGTGAAACAGTTACAGCATTGTCAGGGGCATTGGAACCAAGTGGGATACAGTATGTGTACCCCCAATATCTCATTTGGATTCATTCACCCCTCCCCCCTCCAATAAATAGACCTTTGCATATAAATTATTAAGTTTTGTCCCCTCAGTATCAAACTCTGCTACACCACTGAGCGTTAGGCCTGTTTATAATCCATCACCTTCGTATTGTAGCACAGCCAATCCCGTCACCGATCGCGCACTCGGTGTCATCCCATAATATTTTCTGCTGGGGGTTTCTTGTTCAGTTACTCCTCTTCTACTCAACGGACCACACAGTACATATGAATATCTGCTAATGGGGGCAGCAAGGGGGCTCGTGCCGAGGATGGACACTTATCTTACTGTACGCTGCTCAGAGCGGCAGGCGGCGAGGAATTAACACGCACGCTGACACAATGAGCCTGGAGGACGTGCAACCTCATTAACCAGGAGAAGCATCCCTGAAAGGCTATTGAGAACCCTCAGCTCCCAGATTGTATAATAAAGGCTAATAGTTTTGCAAAAGCACATCATTCTATGGCATAATGAAGCACGCATAAATCTTCACTGCAGCTCTGGATGTAACGTTTGTGATTTTTTTTTTTCTATATGCGATCTTGGTTATTCTAAGCATTGCGATTTCATCACCTATTGGGGGGGGGGGGGCAGCAATACTAAGACTGCTAAGAAATTAAGAAGGGGTCGGTGAGAACCTGGCCCTTTTGACCTCTTTTAAATAATCAAAGGTTTATTTTCCAGGTATCCCCATCCTTACAAAAGTAGAGCGTTCCTATGAAACCTTTTTTAAGCCAATATGTCATAAAGCGAAAAAGTAGTTAACACTAATTTATTGGGGAGACATTTTTTGAGCATTCCCAGATCCAGACAAATAATCTACCACATTATACCAACTAACACATAAAATGTAAAACACTGATATAAAGTAAAAGCAGAAATTATATGATAAATACACCGCCTATATGAAGCAGCAGTAATGTATCAGTGTACTTTCACTTAACAGGATATAGCCTAAATAATGATAAATACGTACATTATAGTGAATAAATAAACCAGAAAGGTTGTTCTTTTTCAGTAATGTTAGCATGGGGGGGGGGGCAGCCAGGTGACCTTTGACCCCTCTACTTGGGAGTTCTTGGTTCCTCTCCTCCATTGTCATCTGGCTTTCTTTCATTTCCCTGTCTTTCCTTTTCCCTTTTTCATATTATTCTCACTCAATGTTGTAATGTATCACAACACACCAATGTAAACTCTGTTGTGAAAGGCGCTATATAAAAATAAATTGAATTGAAATAATTCAATTCGAATTATTCTGTAATCTGTACTTTACATAATTGTATGTGCTATTCTTATATACGCCTGGCAGCGCAGTAGTTTGGTTACTCCAGCATCACCATAATTGCGTGAGTAACACGTTGCATTGTAACGTTAAGAAGGCCCACGACTGCATTAGGTGATAGGAATTTTTCAGCTCCGTTAATATGTTATGGGACCACGGTCGAACATGTGGTCCATCGTTCACTGAAACGTCATTATGCGCAACATGACTGTATGTCTATAACATAAACAAACGTTAAACGCCATTTTTGCTTTTCTCCTTTTTTCATAATGGTGGAAAAATCTTTTTTTCAGTTGGCAAAAACAGGTGCTAATGTATGTTTCTCATAAAAGCGAAGTGGTGAAAAGTGAGGAACACCTGTATTTTATTTATTAACCAGGAAAACCAGAAAGGACAAGCTCAAACCTGTGATGATATCCTATACTCCGACCAGACAGTTTAATTACTGTTTATAAAAATTATTAGAAACGTAATGGTAATAGATAGCTTACTGGCAGGCCAATAGTAATGAATAATTATTATGGAGATAAATCAGGAGAGTCAATGCTTAACCAAATTGACATTGCCGTTGTTACTGTTGAATAAACAATACACTCAGCAATACACAATAGTTCATTTGTCTGGGTGTGAACGAGTAAGGAAGATGTGCTGATTCCAGCAAATTTAATCACAATAATCAGCACAAGAAGGTTATAAGTATCTCACTGCCTCACTAATGCTCCCCTCGTGCTCCCTCGATTGCTCCTATCAGTAAGATGGAGTGATGAGGGAAAACGGGCAACACAAATTGAACTGTTTACTTGAGAAAGCAGAAAAGCACCGTGGGTTAATGTAGTGGGAACACAGGCAACAATGGAAGCAAGGCTATGTTTAGGGACTACATTTTTCTAGCCAATAATAATTTTAGAAACCTAATTTCATTGTCTTAAATAACGCCCACTTGAAAATCTGATTCCGGATTCTTAATGTCGGTCTACGTAAAGGAATCTAGCTGGGTGATGGGTCACTGGCAAAACCAGCCTATAGCCATAATGTGAACTGTCCTGATATAGTAGAGGTACAACTATGTAAAGGTGTAAAGGGTTAAATCTGTATGCTTTTAAGCTAGAAATACCAGCTTCAGGTACCATGAAAAGCCTACAATTGCAAATTACAATTTATTTACTCTGATAGGGTACATTCTCTGCATAATCTTAAATATATAAAAAGAGTGTCTCAGTTCAATTATTTAATAAAACATCACATATGCCACAAACTATTTAAATGAATAATTAAACAGAATATAAGATTATATTATACAATCACATCAACCGCACACTGGACCCTTGCATACTTCAGTTATTTTAATGCAAAAATAATCATAAGGATTTGATTCAATGTGCACATTGTATTACCCTTCTAGAATAATGTAAATGTTAGAAATTCTTGGACATCTCCCTGGAATAAAGTGACTGCCAAAATAAACATAAGCAGAAAATAAAACCAACCTTTTGATATTTGAAATCCTAATGCATGATTATCTGGCAATGCCTAGGCGTAAACAAAAACTGGAATGAACATGTGTACTTTCAATAGTGTCATCATAGCAATGAGCCACAATTTCCACAAAAAATGCAGAAGGCCACTTATGCATTGGCCTGAGTTCAGACCAGCCACTATGAGCAGAAAGTGGGCAGGACTGGTGCCACTGGTATCAATTTACATTTCTTATTGGCCATTTTATAATAATGTAGAAGGAAAATCCCACAACATTCTACACAAAATAAATCCATCATCATTTTCATGTACCTTCAGATTTCCAGCAGTCTTAAGAAGTGTATATTCGAACAATGAACATCTGTACAGTTTTTAGTTCAGTAGATACTTAATTATTACATTTTCCTTTCATACCTCATAACCAGCCTTGCAGGCATTCGAATTAATGTCTTAGAGTTTTGTAACTGAACACAGGATTCAATTTGAAAATATCACTTTATGTTTGTTATACAAATTCAAAATTTTGATTACATTTTGACATTAATTTCACCCCATGCCTTTTCCCTTTTGAGAGTACAGTGCAAGGAGAAATAATCAGAATTTTAACAACCACATTAACTGGATACGGAAAGCAACAGTTAACAGAGTTAAACTGGCTCCGGGTTGTATGTGCCTTGAATGCGGCTCAGAAACACATCTTGCATAATGTGCAGTACGGCACATCCTTGAGAATTAGAATCTGCCCCTGGGAAGGAGCCTTAAAAAACAAAGACACACACATGTAAACAAAAATCCCGTCTGCTGCATCACATGGGTCCATATTGAAATTCTTTTCAAAGCATTTTGTTGTGGACTGGGAAGCTGAATTCACACTGGAGACTGGTGCTGCATGTATCCCTCATTGTGTGATGTGCATGATTTCTCAGGAAAGTAACATATTGTGCAGCATTGACTCTCCCCGCTAATGGAGGGAGTGGATCCAAGAAAATGGGCCTCACACAATTATAGAACCGCAAGAACCTTTTACCGTGGGAACCAGGCACTCAGGGGTGCGCGGCCCGTTGGGCTGTCGTCCTGCTAGCAAACATCCATTTGTCAGATGCACAGTGAGGGATGACTCATGCCACACTGCACCGCATTCAGAAGCCCTCTGTCTATGCTCATGGCCCATAAATCCCAGAAATGGGATCCACACCGTTATGGCATCCCATAGTCTGACTGTTCCCATTCCCACTTTTTATCGTCGGTGAATTCCGCTATTGTGCTTGCTTGTTCACTTACCTCGTATTTCTCTCGGATGCCCATCCGTTAAGGCTTTGGGAAGAGGCGCCTTTGCATCCGTCTGCTTGTCCCTCCCCCCATTTTTCCCCTCATCTGCCTCTGGGAAGGACATTTCTGTCGCCATTGTCACTGACTAAACACACATGCCAGCTAAACACACACTCCAGCAACAATACTGCATTCAGAGTCCCTGAATGGGCCTTTCACAGATATGTAGCCTCTCGATGCCGAGCCGCTCGTATGTGGGGAACATGACAACAGAAACTGGGGATACGCATTCCTGTTAGCCTTGAATATGTTCAATGGGACCTTTCCTCTAGCCATTCTCCTTTTCATTCTCCTTTCCGGAACTTTAATTACAGTCACACAAAGATGTAGGTTAAAGGTCTCTGAAGTGTTTCACCCAAAACTACCCCAGAGGAGAGACTGACTTGGTCACCGAGTGGTCATGGGGTCAGTGCCCTCAGACTGAGTCGTCTCGGCTACTGCACCCCCCAGTGGCTTCATGTCTGTCTGAGGGACATTTCTGCCCTGCGTGTCATTCTGAACTGAGCAAGCTGATCATGCCACCCAGACAAATGGAAATACAGGAATAGCTACAGGAGGTGGCACCTGTGCTAGTATTTGTTTTAGCCTCGTGTATCATAAGTCAATAGGTCACATTAGCTGCCGCATTAGTTGGTGAGTTAGTGCTCCTTATGTTTTGCCTACAAACTGTAATTATACCTGGTCATTAATAAAACTATCCTTAGGTGGCTGCAATTACTTCGCGGAGGTGAATCTTAATAAACGTCACCGCGACCTGCTAATGAACCAGGCAGGCAATCAGTAGGTCAGCCAATCAATAGATTTACCCGGGTATCCTTTCAGAGCACTAAAACGTCGCTTCGATGTGAATGAAAGCACATTGTTCCATAACGCGGCCCACAAAGTCACTACTGATTTCCGTAAAACCAATAAGGATCCAGCTTATAGGCTGTACACATCAATTTCACAAAGACCAGTGGACTTCTTGAAAGGGTTGTACTGCAGGATATGCAATAACAGGTTTTCAAAAGCATCTTAGTCACTTCAAAGCATTAATTTGCAAATAAGTGGATTTCTAAATATACATTCTTTCAGCTGTTTTGGAAGGTTTCTGAATTTTAAGTTCTGTTCATACTGTACTTCCATATTTACTGCACATTGAAGCAAAATTCTTCATTTATTTTGTACAAGTAGTATGTGGTATATTTTTCCAACCCCTCTCTATGACCAAAAAAATGTGTAGGAATAACAGAAGAGAATGTCCTGGATACAACACGTCTTTGTCAAAACTAAACATAAGCGACTGAGTTCAAAATTGCCATTTGCTGTCTGAGGAGATACAGTACCTTACTCCGTGTGGAAGAAAGGATCTTCTTGAGAACAAATCAATAACTTCTCACCTTAAAGACTGTTTCCTTAATAGCTATAATGACCCACAGCCCTCCAAAATAACAGACATGAGAAACTGTTGACACTTAGACATTACAGAGAGCCAATTTGAACAAACTGCAGTGTATCATTGTATTTGGGATGGTTTGTGATCTTTGGAAATATATTTCCAGTCCATTCATATCTTTCTGCTTTTTTGTTTTTTAAGAATTTTTGATCAGAGGCCTCATAATAAATGAATGGCCCTGGGGCTGCCCCCCCCACAGCGACAGCTGCGAAACGGCACAAGATGGCATCTGCAGAAATGCATTTTTTGCACCGAGCCCAGAACAATGCAATTAGACAGACGTGTATCTGGAAAGCCCTTGTTTCCGGCTCATGGACAGCAGGATCTCATTCGGGCCTCATTTACTGTGCGCTTGCATGCGGTAGCGATGTCCTTTTCTCCACAGCTAGCTTTTTGAATAGAAAAAACACGATCTTCCTTTTGACACTGTTTTCCCGGGGAAATTCCT